TTCATATAATATGACTCATATCATCACACATATTGTAGCATATCATATCATATGCATGCGTAAGAGATCATGCGTAATTGCGTCTCTTATAGCGTGGTTGTGCGGGACTTAGTAGTCCGACAACCCTGACCGGGCTTAGTGTACGTACATGGTATTCAGACTTTCGAGTACCACCCCTATTTTTCTAGTCTCCCTCGTGAGACTAAGAAGGACATGAGTTCGTCGTACCAAATGGGCGAATCTCATAGTTGCAAGGTCATTCCTTGTTGACTTAGAATCATACAGCATGAAGTCATCATCAAGTAAAATCATCATGACTATGTGTAACATCAATTACGCATCATGTAATCCTCATCAAGAACAATTATATTGATTACATAAGCGTCATGTAATCATCATCAAGAACAATCAAATTGATTAAATTAAATGTGCCATAATCATGCAATTATCATTAAATATTTATCATCATGATTCATCAAATTGACCATATGATATAAAGTGTCATATCAGGAATATTGTTATACATATTTGTGGACATATATATACGTATATGTCTATGAATTATTCTACAATTCTAGCGTGGTACCACTCAGCGGTTTTGCTGAGCGTGTAGTTTGTATTTTTCGTTGACTACACGTAGGTAACAAGAAGACAATGATGGAACCTTTCCCGGAGGGCATTGAGTCAGAGGAGATGCAAGGATGGCAGGCAATGTTTGGTCAACAGATTTTAAAATGTGTCATGATTTGATTATTATTGTACTTCCGCATTACTCTGAAAATATTTTTTAAATGGGTCGCGATCCAGAGTCTGTAAATTTAATATTTTTAAGTAATTGTCATATTCAAATGTCAAGTGAAATTTTTATTTAACTCTCGTTTTACCTTAATTCGTGTAATTCCGGGTTATACGGATTGGGGTGTTACAATTCCAAAACAGTTGGTATGATTCCACCCAGAAAGCAAAAAAATATGGCCCAACGTAAACATCAAAAGTCTTCAACGCAATACAGAGTGACATAACACATAGCACCAGCGAAATACAAGTACAGGAGGGCAAGGACTCTCCAAGACACATGAAGTGCAGATCATGACAAAAAACTACACCCAACATCCACCTAAAATACACCCTCTGGCAGAGCAAAACACAAAAATTGGCCCACTTAACGATTAACAAAACTTATGCCAACACAATCAATTCATCTTCTTCTCGCATGTAATTACTGTTATATTCATTTATTGCGTGGTTGGGTGGGAACAATCTCACATCCAACTCCTCCTCGAGTTCTAATTCAACAGACCCCTCACTATCTTCATCAATGTCCATATAGTTTTTCTCAGGTAATCTTAAGACAACTGACCATAGTTTCTTAAGAGGATCATCAATGTAACATACTTGCATGACGTGTTTCCCCAACACAAATGGGTCATTCTGAAAACCTAATTTGTTCAAATTAACCAGAGTGTATCCCAAGTCATCTACCTTAACCCCTATATTCATATCTACCCATTTACAACGAAAGATGGGAACCCTAAAATGGTTGTAGTCTAACTCCAAAATTTCTATGATAACACCGTAAAATGTGTGTGTACCATGCTGGATGTTTTTTTCCTTACCAACTACGAGCATTGTTTGAGCTTCTACACAAACACCACTACACTGAACTTGACGCATATCATCACGTTTTTGGTGTTGTAGGTCACACCATTGATTTTATACCCACTGAAAGTGGGTACATCCTTGTTAGGCCCTTCTGCAATTCACATTAGTTCCGTTGATACCGTATTATTCTCCACAAGCAAGTCTGTTGAAATCTGTCCAAACGAAGTACCACAAGTACAATAACTTCAATTCAAATATTGCTATTTTATTCAAGAATCTGCACAAATAATATATGATGAAAGTCATTATATGGTCGGTGTGATCATCAAAGTCTCCACAAGCAAGTCTGTTGAAATCTGTCTAAACACAAATGTGCTAGGTGCAAGTCATTATTGGTCGGTGTGATCATCATCGCACCAGACAGGAGTCTAGATTGTGCACCCTGGAAACTTTTTGGCAATCCTACTATACAATCTTCAGAACTCACTAAACACTCAATTGCCTCCTCTTCAATATACGCTTCGGCAATTGAACCTTCAGGATAAGCACGGTTGCGTACATATCCCTTGAATGTCTTCATTTCTCGTTCGAAAGGATACATCCAACGTAGCCAAACCGGGCCACAAAGCTCGACTTCTCTCACAAGATGAATTGAGAGATGGACCATTATATCAAAAAAAGGAGGGAAATGTTTTTCAAGCAAACATAAAGTCTCTACCAACTGGGATTGCATTTTTTCCAATTTATCGACCTCAATGACTTTGCTACAAATTGCCTTAAAGAAGAGGCAAAACCTAATAATAGTGGACCGCACATCTTTTTGTAACACTGATCGTATTACAATGGGGAGCAAGTGATGCAACATTGTATGACAATCATGAGACTTCATCCCGACAACTCGAAGATTTTCCATCGATACTAGGCTCTTGACGTTAGAGCAAAAACTTTCAGGTAACTTCATGCCAAGCAAAGATGAGCAAAGTATCTTTTTTCTTTGTGCAATAAGTTACAAGATGCCATTGGTAACTTCTCATTTTTTCTGGGATTTTTGGGCATCAACTCCGTTCTAATACCCATTTCAGCTATATCGATACACACAGATTCCCTATATTTTGTCTTCCCTGGTATATTAAGCAACGTACCAATTAATGCCTCACATATATTTTTCTCAATATGCATTACGTCGAGAACATGCCTTACTGGCAGAAATTTCCAATATTCCAGTTTAAAAAAAATAGACATCTTCTTCCAAGTAGGTTGGATGTCTCCTTTTTTTAGACGAGGATGTGGTTGTGTCTTCTCGTAGACATGGTCACTTAACGATTGCACACGTAAATATACCTCTTCCCCGGTCAATGGGATAGGAGTTGCACATTCTTTTCCACTGTGTTATCAAAGGCTGCTTTCTGCCTTCGATATGGATGTTGTCGTGGCAACCACCTGCGATGCTTCATAACCACCATCTTATGGTAATTACGCAACCTGATAGCATTTGTTTTATCACCACAAACAACACATGAATTATAGCCTTTTACAACATTGCCTGAAAAATTACCCAATGCAGGATAATCACTAATTGTTAACAACAAAACTTCTCGCAATGTGAAGAACTCTTTTCTGTATGCATCATAGACTTGAACACCAATCCACAACCTTTGAAGGTCTTTAAATACCATCTAAAGATAGACATCAATGTTGTTTCCGGGCTGATTTGGTCCTGATATCAACATGCTTAAGGTTATATACTTTCTCTTCATACACAACCAAGGTGGTAAGTTGTAAATCGATATTAAAACAGGCCAGCATGAGTACGTTGTAGAAACTCCACGGAATGGATTAAATCCATCAGTAGATAAAGCTAACCGAAGGTTCCTAGTGTCAGAAGCAAATTCAGGCCACCGGTTGTCAACATCCTTCCATGTTTTCGAGTCTGCGGGGTGTCTAATCTTGCCATCCTTTTGTCGTTCGCTATCATGCCAAGTCATATCCTTTGCAATATGTGGTGTACTAAAGAAATTCCTCAACCTCGAAAGTAAAGGAAAATACCACAAAACCTTAGCGGGTACCCCTTCCAATTCTTTGCCCTTTCTATTCAACTTCCATCTAGAGATCCCACATATACGACATGTTGTACTATCTTCATCTCTCTCGCCATTATACAGAAGACAATCATTCGGGCATGCATGTATTTTTTGATAATCCATACCTAAAGCACATAAGGTCTTCTTTGCTTCACCAAATGACGAAGGCAGGCAGTTGCCCTTTGGTAGAAATGTCCCTAGCAAAAGTAGAATTTCAGAGAAGCATGAATCAGAAATCCCATGCTTTGCCTTCAAGTTATATAATTTCACTAGTGCCTTCAGCTTAGTGTAGCTCTTGCATCCCGGGTAAAGGGGTTCAGAATCCCCTTGGACATGGTTCATGAAATCAGAGTATTCAAAAGACCTGTCCTCACCATCTTCTTCACTGTTTTCATCTGTTCCATCGTCAAATGAGTCATGAACACGTTTATAGTGTGGGTGAGGGGGTTCATCCTCTGGATTTAGCTCTTCGTGCCATATCCAACATGTATACGATTCATCAATACCATGTTGGAAAAGATGTGCCTTAACTGTTTATGTGTTCCAGGATTTTGTGTGAACACACTTTAGACATGGACAACTAATTTTTTGTCCCTCAAATATGTTTTCACTTGCAGACCTTAACAATTCATCCACTCCTAGTTCATACTCTCTGCTTCTTCTATCGGATTTCATCCACGATTTATCCATACGTAATTGAAATAAGACTGGTGACTTACCACAATCATGTCATGACCGGTTGCTAGCAGAGTATTACTCCATCGCCAAAAATACCGCAGTGATGAACAAACAGCTAGACTTCAACTATGGCTGAAAATAATCTCCGGCGGCCATGTCTGAACATAAGAGCTCAATTTCACCCTAGGCTTAATTTCATCCCAGCTCGATCCCAAATTGGGTTTCCACTCGCTGATACCGCAGGTCCTAAGGAAAAGGAGATTGACTAGTGCTAGACTTCACCTAATTTTTTTGATGAGATGGAAAGTACATGGAGGCATGGAGCCATGGAGGGGGTCCTAAATGGCTAAATCTATTCCAAATTTGACTAAATGTACCCTAAAAAAGAAATGTTAGATTCACAAATAAAATGGTCACAAAATTCACAAACTTACTATTTTTGAACTTCAATAAAAATTATTAAATGGTATAAAATAATTTTAAGATGGAAATTTAAACCATAAATGCCAAGTTTGTGAAGTTTGAGATCATTTTGTTTGTGAACCTAGTATTGCTCCCTAAAAATGGCCTATAAACTTCTATCAATTATATATAACTAAATTATACACAAAATTTATTATACAAAAAAAAATTATGCAAAAAGTTTTGACTACAAAAAAATTAATACTAAGTGTTTCATTAAAAATTCATAGTGTTAAACATAATTTTGGTTCTATAAACATAATTTTGTTGGAACACGGGTTTACGCCTATGTCGTACTAAATCGTGTTCGTTTTATGACAGGTTTTGATAATGCCAAACCGCCGTGACAACAAGATTAAACTGAGCAAAACCAAGGCAAAGGAACATGGCATAATGAACTGAGAACCAAGAACCAAGAATCAGGAACGAAGACTTAGAATTGTATTGAGTCGGTCTTAATGTGATCAAGACCGACACAAACTTTCAAAACTTGGCTCTCTAGGCTCATATCATCAAAATACTTTTTTCATATTCAAAAATGTTCTTCTTAAGTTTTAAACATGCCTAAAAACACTTGGAGTTCGCCCAAACCAAAAACCAAGCCATCCGGCGTTCGGGTTTCGGAAATCGGCGTTCGGCTTTTGGTCATCGGCGTTGGTTTTTGGCGTCCGAACCAACCAAGTGGTTTTCAACTTTTAATGATTGGTTTTTACTTCTGGGCATATTTAAATAGTTCTCCAACAAAAACGCTTCAAAAACTACCTTTCGTTTTTGGTCGTTTAGTGAAAACCATGTGAAACGGCGTAAACTTGGCTAGCCGTGGTTTTCAACTAAATGACGTGGTTTTCAAGATGTTTTACTTGATTTCTTAGCAAAATGCATTAAACAAATGTTTTCAATACTTTGTTTTTATTTTGGAGAACTTACATTTTTGTCATCGACCAACGGCATGACTAAACCAACCATGGGTCTGGCTAAACCAGCCCAACAGCGATGTTGGTGTAACCAACAGCGCTGTCTGGCATGGGAAGC